TTTTCAAATAGTATAAAAACATGTGATCATGCTAAATCATTGCCATGGTCCCTCCCACAGCCTCTGGAAAGAGTCTTTGAAAGTGGGAGTGGAGAAAGGGGAGCTGAAGGTCAGGCAGCCACACTCATTCTCCTTTCCTCTAGAAGTGGAAATCCTCCTGCTCCTCCTCCTCCCTTCCAAGGCTGATCTATTCTGCTAGGCTCCAGATCCTCTGGGAAGCCTCTGAATCACCTCCCCCGCTCTCTTTCTTTATATGATCACTTTCAGGTTATAAATATGATCATATTCTTCTCAAACTCAAAAACAAAATGAGCAATCAACCCTAACCAAGTCAACTCCCAAATTCCTTCAGCCCCAAATTCCTTTCCAGCCACCCAAGTGCTCTCTTTCCTTTAACAACAAGATTTTGGAAAAACCACTGCCCTCCCTCCCTGTTTCCCCTTCATTTCTTAATTCATTGCACTTTTGCTTTGGCTCTCATAGCTCTGCTGAAACTGCTTTGGCTTAAAGTCACCAGTGACTATATTGTGTACTTTATCAGCGATTTTTTTTTTTAAAGCAGGCTTCAGTTTCTTTTGGTTAGGTTGAACCAGGAAAACTGCCATTTTTGTAGGCTTGTTTTTGTTTTGTTTCCTATTATAATGTTATAATACGTATCTGTGTATACATATCTCTATGAAGTTCTGTTTCTGTGGATAAATTCTGAGAAGCAGGGTTTTGTTATTATTATTATTTGAGATGGAGTTTCACTCTTGTTGTCCAGTTTTATTTTATCATTATTATTATTATTTGAGATGGAGTGTCACTCTTGTTGCCTAGGCTGGAGTGCAATGGGGCAATCTCTGCCTCCCAGGTTCAAGTGATTCTCCTGCCTTAGCCTCCTGAGTTGCTGAGATTACAGGTGTGTGCCACCATCCCTGGCTAATTTTTGTATTTTTAGTAGAGATGCGGTTTCACCATGTTGGTCAAGCTGGTTTTGAACTCCTGACCTTGTGACAACCCACCTTGGCCTCCCAAAGTGCTGGAATTACAGGCATGAGCCACCGTGCCTAGCTAATTTTTGTGTTTTTAGTAGAGACAGGGTTTCCCCATGTTGGTCAGGCTGGTCTTGAACTCTTGACCTTGGGTGATCTGCCCACCTCAGCCTTCCAAAATGCTGAGATTACAGGCATTGCACCTGGCCAGGGTTCCAGTTTAAATATGTATGTATTTTACTCCCAGACTGATTTCCTAAAACATTGGCATAATGTATGGTCCCATCAATGACCTTTTAGAAAGTTTTAAGTCACAATGTCCTCTTTTCAGCACTTCTCATAGCAAACTCTCCATTGTTAACACTGTATTTGCCATTATTGATCATACCTTCTTCAGTTGGTAGCACTTTCAATCAGTGTTTCTATTTGTTTGTTTGTTTGTGACAGAGTCTCACTCTGTTACCTAGGCTGAAGTGCAATGGCGTGAGCTTGGCTCACTGCAACCTCTGCCTCCCTGCAACATCTGCCTCCCGGGTTCAAGTGATTCTGCCTCAGCCTCCTGAGTAGCTGGGATTACAGGTGAGTGCTACCACGCCTGGCTAATTTTTGTATTTTTAGTAGAGATGGGGTTTCACCATGTTGGCCAGGCTGGACTTGAACTCTTGACCTCAGATGATCCACCCACCTTGGCCTCCCAAGGTGCTACGATTACAGGTGTGAGACACTGTGCTTGGCCTCAATCAGTGTTTTACCTGCCACTTTCTGGCCTTTCTTTTTTTTTTTTTTTTTTTTTTGAGACAGGGTCTTGCTCCGTGGCCCAGGCTGGAATGCAGTGGTGCAATCTTAACTCACTGCAAACTCCGCCTCCTGGGCTCAGGTGATTCTCCTATCTCAGCCTCCAGAGTAGCTGTACTATATGCACATACCACCATGCTCAGCTAATTTTTCTATTTTTAGTAGAGACAGGGTTTCACCATGTTGCAATGTATATTATCTCATTCCCTTATTTAGGTTGATAGTCTAAGGAGATTTAGGTCATACCCCATTTTCTATTATAAATAGGAATACATCCTGGCTTTGTGGGACTTGAAGCTTATACAATTTTGTATAATACAATTATACAGAAAAAGAATTAAAAATTATCTTTGTTTCGCAAATAGGACCATGTGAACATATCACAATGGCCCCTCCCCAGACATTGGAAGGGGCCTGTCAAAGTGAGGGGTCCTGAAGGTTAACTTTTTTTGTCCCCCCCAGACAGAGTCTTGGCTCACTGCAACCTCTGCCTCCTGGGTTCAAGTGATTCTTCTGCCTCAGCCTCCCGGGTAGCTGGGATTACAGGCGTATGCCACTATGCCTGGCTAATCTTTTTGTATTTTTAGTAGAGATGGGGTTTCACCATGTTGGCCAGGCTGGTTTCAAACTCCTGACCTCATGATCTGCCGGCCTTGGCCTCCCAAAATGCTAGAATTACAGGTGAGAGCCACTTCGCCCAGCCCCAAAGGTTAACTTTCATTAGCTTCAGTGGTTCACTACCTATAACTACAAATAACCTTATAATAAACATTTGAGCATTTTTTTGGGTCTCCTATTATTTCCCAAGGATTCCCAGTTACTATAACACCATTCACCTTGAAGGAGGTGAGAGTGGAAGGTTCTGATCATTTACTGAGCACCTCGTATATATTAAGCAGTTTATATAATTTAATTTAAGCACTACAAGCCTGAAGGAGTTCTTGGCCCCTGCTTTACAGATGAGAAAACTGAGGTGCAATGCATTTAAATATCTTGCCCAAGGTCGCACATCTAACAACTGGTGGGGTTTGGATTGTAACCCACATCTTATTCCAAAGCTCGTGCTTTCTGCCCTACTTTCTAGTGTTTCTACAGCCTCATGAGCGTCACAGCAACGCATTCTCCAGGCTATTGCTGAAAAATCTGATCTCAGTTTTCTGTTTTGAGGAAACCAGGATACAAAACTGACTTGGTTCTTAGAAGCAGGCCATTTATATCAACGGTGGATAGACTGTCAGGTGAATTTGAGAGAAAGTGATTTGGCTGTTTCTGTGGTCCATCTGCTTACAAACCTACAACACCTTGGTTCAGCACGCATTTCTTGGAGGGAACTGGCTGAAGTCAGAGACCTGGATTGGGCTCAGGTCCTGCTATTCACTACTTGAGTGGCCTTGGGTAAGTCATTAACGTCTCAGGTTCTCATTTTCCTCCTCTGTGCAATAAAGTTAATAAGTAAAGAAACCTGCCTTTCCCCAGGGTAGTTTTGAGTGTCAAATATAACATATGTTCAAGTACTAGTGAACTCCAATGTTACTGAGATACTTGTAACGTTATACCCGAGCGAGATTGAATAGAAGCGCCACGCTCTGAGTTTGCTGAGTCCACTTTTAATGCCGGCGTCTAAGAGTCAGCTGGAGCTCAAACCTCTCTGCCACGAATACAGGGCGGTCAACATTTTTATACCAGTTTAGGGTCAGGGGGTGGTAAGCAGATTATTAGAGAAGCAGAAGGAGCAGGTTAGGGGGAAGGGAGGGTGCCTAACAAAAAATTTCTACTTAAAGTTGTTTTTTATTCAGGATATAGGGTAGCAGTTGCACGGTTGCAAGTACAGGATGCATAGGCCAGTGGACCCTGTTTCTCAGAAAATTGGTTACAAAGATGCCAGGCGCCTCAGACCACAAGCTTTCAGAACAGAATGCCCTACATAGCTCAGGGTGGGCAACATAGCTCAGGGTGGGCAAAATGGAGTTAGCAGGATTGTTTAAAATGTATTTATTACAGTCAAGCTAGGGTATTTCAGTAACTGTGGTAGCAGCTCCACTTTCTTGCTGCCTCCAGGTAAGGGCGTGTGTCAGCTGGGCAGGATGCATCTGATGGCGCCATTAGGGTTAACTCTTGGAGCACCTCTGCCCAGACTGACGCCTGGCAGGTGATTTCAGGAGGCGTCTGGGCCATTACTCCTGAATGCCCAGTGCATTGGGAGCCGCAGAGGCTGTGTACCGTCTGAGATTCTGGGGAATCCTTTCCTTCTCAAGCTGATAATTGATCATCAAAGCATGCCAAACATTCGTTATTATATGCAACTTAGGAAATCTTAAATAGTTTTGTCCAATTGTCCCTTTCTTCTGTCTTAGGTTTTGACGCATGTATCTTGAAATTTTGTCAGTTTAGAAATCTTTAGTGTTGGTCGGGCTTAATTCTGGGGGCAGTTTGTACTTCTGGGAAGGCAGGAGAGAAATAACAATCTCAGTTTTGAATTGGCGTTTTAACATCCTTCACCAGATCCACGTTGAAAGCCAGCGTAACCAGCGTTTAAGAACGCTCCTCCACCCCCCAAAAAAAGGATGCTGAAACCGGTTTCCAACCCCGAAGACGGAGCTGATCTCGCCGCAACGGGATCCGCTGTGGCTCCCCTTGCGTGCACCGCTGCTGGGCCGTCCCAGGTGGCTGGGGGCCCGGACCCGAAGCCCGACCTGACCCTGCCAGCGGCGGCCGCACAAAGACTGGGGCAGACGGCTGCCTGGCCGAGCCGCAGAAAGTAGTCCCGACCACGCCGGCTCCAATGTTGTTCGGTACAGCCTCACGCCCTCCGCGGGGAGGGCCGAAGCGGTCGCTCCGGGAAAGAATCCCGCTGGAATGCGCCGCCGGGAGGAGGCCTTCTCTCGCCAGCTCGCCTCTGCTAGCCCAGCACCTCTCCCGGGGTCTTACGCAGAGGCCGTGCTGCGGTTGCCGACTCCTTTCCCCAGCCGCGCAGGAGGCAGCGCCGGGGGAGGGGGCTCGCCGTGCGCAGGGACACGTCTTTGCCCCGACCCTAGGAGCCTGCGCCGAACGTATCCCTGCGCCGCTGCGCGAGTCAGAGGCTGAATGAGGAGCTGCGCGAGGGAAGCGGGGTGCCGGGGGAGGAGGCGGCGGGATGGAAGCAGACGCTGGCGTCGCGCGAGCCTGGGGCCGAGCGACGCGGTAGAGAGGGCGGCGGCGGCGGCGCGCGCGGAGCCTGGACGTGCCCTTTTCTTTCTTCTCTGCCTGGGAAGCTGGGAAGCATGAGAGTGCAGCCCTGCCGCTGCGGCGGCCGCCCCGGCTCCTCGCCTCCCCGTCTTCTTGCCGCCCCTCGCCGGTGAGAGAAGAGAACGCGAGAAGGGAAGATGGGGGCCGTCCTGAGGAGCCTCCTGGCCTGCAGCTTCTGTGTGCTCCTGAGAGGTGGGAAGTGTGGGGGCACTGGAAAGTTGGTGGGGTTCGGAGGGAGGTGGCCTTGTTTTGTGTGTCTTGGGGGGAGGGGAGGGACAGAGGGAGGGAGAAGGGGAGAGGAGCCGGGAGAGGCCTGGTCGTGGGGAGGGGGAGAGAAAGGGGCCCGGGAGCAGGGGCTGCGCGCACCGCCCGGCCACAATGCGGACCTGGCCTGGCTTGCCAGACCTTCCCGGGACACATCGGAGCCTCGATCCCGACGGCTGGTCTTACGGAACCCCTGGCACCCCATTCTGTCGGGATGACTGAGTGTCTGTGTGCCTCTCTCTGCCTGGGGTCTTTGTACGTATTTTGGCTTTTAAAATGTTTTGAGTCCGAGATGCTTTAAGGTTGGCCTTCTCCCTCGAAGTCCTCCCCCCATCCACCACCCCCCACCCCATTTTGGTGTTTCTTAGGTGAACTTTTAAAGTCCTCTGTTTTTTCCAGGCCTTGTTACAGGTAATAATTGGCTTCCGTTTGGGATATAATGATCCTGGGAGAGAGCGCAGTTGGAAATGACTTTTGGGTTATAGGTCGAGCGTTTCAGCATTGGGAACCTTCTGAGCTTCAGCCCATAATAAAATAGAAACACTGCCCTTGTAACCTCTGGTATTCACGGCTTGCCCCTATTTTCGGAGTATGCAAGTGTACAGTTGGCACTAAGTAGGAAATTCATCCTCGTGTGAAGAGGAGCCGGTCCTGGGACCAAAATGATCATTTGCTCTACACTCCTGGGGACTCCTTGGCATTTTGGTAAATTGCATAGGCTATTCTGGATAATTTGCTCTGGGAATCGCCTGAATTCGATGGTACTAGGATGTTTTGAATTGGCTGCAAAGCTGGCACATGCTCTGTGACTTTTGTTTTGTGACAGTTCGCAAAGATTTTTGACTGACCCGTCGTCAGCTCTTCTCAAACTACTTAGTGTTGAACTTGAGATGGCTGTGATGCTGTGGAGCATTTACCAGCAGAGGAATTTAAGTACTGCTTCATGCAGTGGCTTGTAGTTTTGGTTTGTTAAAATTCTCACTGGCGTTCATGATAAGTTATTTTCAGGCGTGGGACCGCTGGTCTGGAGATTTTTAGGTATTAACAAGCTAAACTTTTGTTAAGTTCTCCGAAACAGACTAACTAATAGTAACTAATAATGTATGACAGGTGTATATTTTTGTGTGTATTGTGTGCATGTATTTTGGATGAGAATAATTGACTTCTTTTTTTGAGGAGGAGAAATATGTTCTTCCGTTACTCTGTAGTAGTGCAGCATTGTGTTTGCATGTTATACTATACTTGATACTCTAAGCATGTTACAAACTTTCCCCACATGTAAACCCCAGAAAAGGTGGTGCTCATTAGATTTTTGTGGGAGAAAATTCAATGGAGTGTTATGTACTGGAGAGGCTTAATAAGTATATACTTATTTTATTATGTTATACTCTCTATTGAAAGGGGTTTTGCCATAGCTGTTAGAAACACCTATATTTGACATAAGAATATGTATATATTTTAAGACACAAGGTTAATAGGGTTGACAAATATGAGAACCAGCTGATTGGTTAGAGTCGTGGGGAAACTTACAACTTGGGATGTTTCTGGTTGCCTGGTTGTATGTTGTATTTCTTGGAGAAGTGTGTGATGTAGCTGTTTGTTTGTTTTAACACCAGCTTTGAGACCAGAAGCTGGGTTTGTTCGTTACTGGAATTCAGATAGGTTGCACTTGTAGTGATGTGTTTTGAAATATGGCATTATGTAATGAGACCTGGAAGAGGTAATAGTTGACATTGTCTTACTTCTTTTAGCAGAGTTTTCAGAAGTGGAGCTCCCGTTTTAAATGTGGCAAAATAATGGTGTAAGGTGGTCTGTTAATATGTAACAGTACTGTTCTTAGCTGTGACTACATATAATTTGAAGTAAAACTGTCTTTTGATGTAGAAGATTTTTGTTTATAACTTAGAATTCATTTTTGAGAATGTCATCCTCTGTTATAGTAATGATGTTTAGTCAACCTTGGGCTCTAAAGAGAAAAATCTGATTGATTTGTTGCATTTAGATCATTTTTTTCCCCACAAATAATTGGATCTTTGACATTGGGTTGGTGTGATGTGGGGTATCTGAGAGTTTGGGGGAGACCGTCTGTCCCGTAGCCCTCCTGAATCAATAGCTGAAAGCCAGGGAACACTGTTAGTGCTTCCTCCTTATCTCTGTCATCACATGACAAGATATAAAGGAAAGATTTGGGAATTTCAACACTAAAATCTTGGATTTAAAGCTCAAGTGTCACAACTTCATAACTTTGTGGTTCTGGTCTAGTCCTCTTCTCTAGGTCTCAGTTTCTTTACTGGTAAAATGTCGATAATGATACTTGACTAGTTTATAGGGTTACTGGGTATTTTAAATGAGAGATATAGTACCTTGCTAATGTTACTTTTGTTATAATTTTTGCTTGTTCAGGGACATATCTTCAAATGCTTTCAGGACTTGAGATTTAATTTGTATAACATTCACACTTTTTTTTTTTTTTTTAGAGACAAGGTTTTGCTTCACTCTGGCTGGGGTGCAGTGGCGTGATCACAGTTCATTGCAGTCTCAAAAGTCTTGTGCTTAAGTGATCCTCCTGCTTCATCCTCCCAAAGCTCTGAACTATAGGCACCTGCCATTATGTCCAAAAGTTTTTGTGGATATGGGGGTGATGTGAGGGTGTCTTAATATTTGGCCAGGCTGGTCTCCAACTCCTGGCCTCAAGTGATCCTCTCAAAATGCTGGGATTACAGGTGTGAGCCACCATGCTTGGCCAGATTCATAAACTCTTTTTTTATTTTGGTAGGGTCTTGCTGTGTTGCCTAGGCTGGAGTGCAGTGGCATGATCGTTGCTCACTGCAGCCTGGACCTCCTGGGCTCAGATGATCCTCCCACCTCAGCTTCCCAAGTAGCTGGGACCACAGTTGTGTGACATAACATCTGGCTAATTTTTAAATTTTTATAGAGCCAGGGTCTCACTATGTTGCCCAGGATGGTCTTGAACTCCTGGGCTCAAGCGATCCTCCCACCTCTGCCTCCCAAAGTTCTGGGATTACAGGTGCAGATTCACACATTCTTAAAAATGAAAGGGATCTTGATCATTTGAGTCTCACCACTTCATTTGTAAGTGGGGAAACTCAAGATTCAGAGATATTGTAACTTAATAAAGATAAGTAAAGATGGGGCAGGGAGTTATTCATTCTTTTAACAAATATGTATGGAATACCATCTGTATATCAGCTTCTGGTACTGGTGGTAAGTAAAACCAACATGGTCCATAATCTGATGAGCCTCACAGTTTAGGTTGCCATCCTTACCATTCTCTTAGTTCTGTCAGGTACTGATTAGAAAAAATAATACCTGGTTTTCTACAGAAAGTATTTTTGATAAGAATACAGGTTTTGGAATACCATTGGTGCATATAATCTGTGAAATACTATTTCTTAGCTTTTTTTTTTTTTTTTTTTTTTTTTTAAGAGACGGGGTCTTGCTCTGCCTCTAAGGCTGAAGTGCAGTGGCGTGATCTCGGCTCACTGCAATCTCTGCCTCCTGAGTTCAAGCAGTTCTCCTGTCTCAGCCTCCTGAGTAGCTGGGACTACAGACGCCCGCCACCATGCTGGACTAATTTTTTTTTTTTTTTTGAGATGGTGTCTTGCCCTGTCGCCCAGGCTGGAGTGCAATGGCACAATCTCAGCTCACTGCAACCTCTGCCTCCTGGGTTCAAGTGATTCTCCTGCCGCAGCCTCTTGAGGAGCTGGGACCACACAACCACGCCAGCTAATTTTTATATTTTTAGTAGAGAAGGGATTTCACCATGTTAGTCAGGCTGGTCTCAAACTCCTAACCTCAGGTGATCCACCCACCTTGGCCTCCCAGAGTGTTGGGATTACAGGCGTGACCACCGCTCCTGGCCTTAGCTTTTTTTGAAGAGGCTTGTTATGTAAAAATTATTTACTACTTTTTTTGTTTGTTTGTTTTAGCGGGGTGGTGGTAAATATTGGTGGTAAATATTTCAGTTGGAGCAAACCACTAATGTTTCCCATCTTGTATTTCTGTAGAAGCGATGCTTGCGAAGTTTCTTCCTTTAAGATCAGATATTATAAAGTCTTGGGGAAGTAGAACAAATTTTGGAGTGGGAATCAGAAGAATTAAGTTATGGTTCTAAATTTGCCATTAGCTAGCTATGTAACCTTGAGTAATGTTTGCACATTTTATTTGGAGATTAGAATTCGTGTTAACACATTAAGTGTTCTGGAAAGTCCTGAGGTAAAGAGACAGGTTTTAACTTTAATCTTTTATTTTCCAAACTTGCCAAACTTACATTGATATTTGATGACAATTTCATATAGCTTGATATTTTCGTTCCTATTTACTTACCTAGCTTCATGTTTGCCCATTTGGCTAGATAATTGTCTGGTTATTAAATTTTAAGGTTTTAGCTCATCGTTATCAGAAGGGCTAATAGTGATTTCCTTTGGTTCCATTTTTAAGATATTTTTTGTCTTTGCTTTAATTGGAGGTTTTTCCATTTGCTGGACTGAACTAGTGTGTCCTTATATATGCTTTGGCTGTCAGAAAGGGCTGTTTTAAATATCAAAGGAGGTTCTGGGAAGGGATATATTAATGGAACATATTTTATGAGAACATATATTTTTTGTTTAAATATTTTGAACATATTGGAAAAACAATGTTTTAGTGCTATTTAGGCCATGAGTTACTACTATGAGAAAGATCATTTTCATCATAGAAATTCTGTTGAAAGTTTATACTTAGAGAATATTATATAGAAGGCATTATAGCAGAAAGGCATGGCTTGTTGTTACACAGGCCAAGTTAAACTCATCTGCCAATCTGTGTTCCTTTGAACAAGTTACTTAGCCTTAATTTCCTCTCCTGTTAGGTGGGGATATAACTTACAAGACTTCTCTGTGAGAACTCATGAAATGTTTGTGAAGCAG